CGTAAAATCCACCAGAAATAGAATATAAAGCATGTGATGATGGTGGCGAGGGCTAAGCACTTACTGTAACTCCTACCAGATGGCAGTCACCGAGACAGCAGCTGCACCCACGATGAAGAAAGCGGATGATGGAAGCGATTAATATTTAGACATCTGAAGTTCCGCCTAGGATGCAACCTTTTGGGTATTCACCTCCTCCCACATACACGGTGTCATGAGACTGTGATTCACCATCTCTGATCATCTGAACGTAGTGTTAAAAGAATCGCGTTTTGTTAAATCGGGCAAGGAAGTTCGTGATCAGAGTGCAGACTATTTGGACACTCCAAACACTGTACTGTACGAAGACGTTCTCCTTATCCTCTTCAATTGAAAAACAAGGAGAGGGCTTTTCCTGGGAGCGAACAAAGTTGTCTCCACGCAGAAATGCTTCCATCCCCGCCGCCATTATTACCATTTCTGTTTCACTATCCACCAGCTGCTGTTAGGCATGATATTTCCCTAGAGAGAACACAAATTTCTGCACAAAAAAGATGAACGACGCCACAAGATTGAAACAAAGTACGAACCCACACGTGTTGGAATTTAGGAGACTGGAAAACACATTCACAACTATTTCGCACCTGCTATCAGCTCTTCGCCCAATTCATTGGGATTCCTGAAACTCTTGTGTTAGTAAATCATACTAATTTCCCCAGTCTCTGATAAGATAAGTGAAGTGCACCAAAGCCAGTTCTCCTCTTTGCAGGACTCGGGCCTCTTTATACAAACATCCAGATTAACATGCAGTTGTTTAGTGTCCTTCTTCATTGACGACACTAACTTCCACTTGACTCAGCCAAAGTGAAGGCATTCCTACGAAGCGCTATTCACTGACCAAGCCTTCACATTTAATGACTTCACTAACCGGCCAAAATGCGGCGTAGAGAAAAGCATCAGGCCGTTAAGTTTTTTCAATATATTTATTCACACTTGTAATGCAGAAGACTAGACTTCGAGTTTTCTCAGCAAAGTTCTGCAACTCCATCAAAACACTG